CTACCTAAACAGACACTGTATAGGCTCTCACACATACACACACACACACACACACACACACACACACACACAACAATGAAATACATAAATGAGCAAATAAAAATAAATAATAAACAATAGTAGTGATAATCATGTCAAAGGTTTTAACTGGGCCAGTCACACATGGGAGTTTTTAACAGGTCAAAGAGAAAGCTAATCAGTTGAAATACAAATATAAGCTAGAAAGGTCAAGGTAGTGCAAGTCAACATTCATCTCCTCAATTTCAAGAAGTTTCAAAAGCAAGTGAGTTAGCTCACGCTTAAAATGTGCTTTCCCTAGCTTGCGAATTTCAAGGGGGATGAACTAATCGAGGCGGGGAGATCTGATGACATTTTACAAGTACAGGATTTATCTATATAGATGGACTAACAGTGAAAACACTACTATGCAGTAAATAGAATAAGTATAAAACAGAGCAAGTATATTAAGATTACGAAAAGAGGCTAACCTAAAGTATTAAATAACTTAATAAGAAGGGAGACTTTGACATAATCATCTTTCGAATGTAAAAAATTTAGAAGTAACTCCTTTATTTTTTTACGAAAAGACGAACATTTCGAGTTGTTTAATCAACTAGGGGATAGAGTTCCAAATTTGGGCACCAATTCTTGAGAAAGAAGCATAGTTACATATTATCTTTTCTAGAAAATTGGACAAAATACGAGTCACCAGAGACTGATCTTGTTCTGCAGTTATGAATCTGACTTGTTTTTACAAACTGATTGAGTATACTAACTGGTGCTGTCAGTCTGTTGATATCATACAATAAATAGTTACAATCTCTGAAAAATAGGCTAGGTTGGGGAAGACAATTCGATTTGAGAAAGAAGGGTATGGTGTGCTCCTTAGACTTACTGACAGAAGTAAATAAGACGTAAGGCCCGTTTTTGTAGAATTATGATTTCTTTTTGAAATGTCATGGCAGAATTTCCCCAAGCACAAGTACCATAAGTTAAATAAGGGACAATTAGTGAATTGTAACTGAAAGTAAGACATGACGTGGGACATAATGTTGAATCTTGGCAATAATTGCTATCGACTGGCTAATTTTGTGGCATATAGAACTATATGCATGGTATTTCCATGAAAGGTTTGAATCAATCGTTAAGCCGAGATATTTTACACAGTCTTTCATTTCAAGGTTTGCATAGGTACAAGTCACAGAGTCAAAAATTCTAATCCTAGGTATAAAAGGCATATTTTTTTGTCAGGGACAAAAAATTACAAAGTTTGATTTTTTTATGTTCAGAGATAGTTTATTGGCCTTAAGCCAATCGTTAATATTGCCAAGTTCGCAGTTAACAAGAGATTGGAGTTCCTTTAAGATGCTATTTGCAGATATTATACTGGTATCATCAGCAAATAGATAAAAGTTAACTGAGAGGACTTGTAAATATCATTGATGTACAGAAGCAACAAGAGAGGTCCAAGGACTGAGCCTTGTGGTATGCCGCACAATGTCGTCTCAGCGTCGGACACAACATTATTAACTTCCGTATTTTGCTTTTGATTAGTTAAGTATGATCTAAACCAGGAGTTGATTACACCTCTAACACCATAATTTTCAAGTTTAGCCAACAAAATCTCATGATTAACAGTATCAAAAGCCTTCTTGAGATCGATGAAGATGCCACATGAAAATTTACCATTGTCCATATTTTGGAGAATTGTGTTAACGATATCAAGTATAGTATATGCTGTGCTTACTGCGAAAACTGTATTGTTGATCATAGAGAATGTTGCAATCTTTGAAAAATTTGATAAGTCTAGAGTACATAAGTTTTTCAAAAATTCTGTTATAAATTATTGAGAACAGTGAATTAGGTCAATAGTTTTCTGATAGAGAGTCATCTTCATCCTTAAATATCGGGATAATCTTAGCACATTTTAGTTTAGATGGAAAAATCCCAGAGCATTAAATATCCCGATTAAGTATCGTAGCTAGAGGTACAGATATGATCCTTTTGAAAGACTGATGGTCTTAGTCTTTCAGCATCGAGTATAATGCTTGCCGCTCTTTTTCGAAGTGTTAAAATACTTTGGAGATGTTTTTAAGTAACCATGTATATTATGTCATTCATAGGATATACCCTAAAACCCCAAGGGTGGCACCACTGCCTTGATTGTGGGGGTACATGTTCCCTGTTTTTTCCACCTGCTGGTTTTTAAGGGTTTTCATGTCTGGCTTTAGTGTGCTTAGTTTCCTTCATTTGTAGAAGACTTTATAAGTATATCAATTTGGTGTTAGATGAAGGGTACCATGGCTTGGCTGGCCAATGTGCTCAGATATCAACTCTTTGTGTGCCCAGTTGAGTTAAGTGGAGGCAAAACATTGTTCTTGAGTTAGTTTGGAGAATTTTGTATTGGATCAACTAATGATCCCCTTGTTGATATTTTCCTTTATTCTCATCACATGTCTGCTTGATATTGTATTGATATTGTAAGGAGAAATTCTGTCTTGGTCACTCATGAGTGTTGAAGGGTTAATGTTTTCTATGTTTATTTATCAGGACAGAATGTCCTCCACTGGATAATTTTTCCAGATTGAAGTGAATGCAGTTTCCTTTTTATTATATGTTTGAAGCAAAATTTCAAAGCATCTTGCACATGTCTTTGTCCTCAGCAGTTCTTTAATTTGTTTCACAATTCTCCAGCTACAAATATGAAAGCCCAATAGTGACTGAAACCAGGTTATTTTGTGTTGTATTTCTGGTTAGAGCTTTGTACTGGCTACATCAATTATTGTTTCATGGATTAGGACCAATTAGAGAGCTCTGCTAATAACTGAATTTTTTTGTGGCTAAGTTCTTGTATTTATTATACTTTTTACTTCTAAGATTTCTATGAATAGTATTACTATCAGCATTATTCAGTGTCTTATATTTCTTAAGATTTGAGAATTTCATGTTAAAAACTAATATTTTCGACCAGTGGCCGGGTTGATTCATTTCTTTTTGCATCACCTTTCTTATTGCAAGTGTATTTTTACCGTAAAGAGAATTTATACTTTAATTTGTTACTCCTGGGGGGCAATTTGCAGACTCCTCACCCCCCCTCCCCAGGAATGGACAGCAGTCCATTTTCTGTGGGTTATTACAATCAGTGCATTTTGTCCAGTGGATCCAAAGTTATAATTTATTTCAGTTCTTGCCGTGACATTACAAAAGATGATAAGCATCTCAAGTTAATTTCACAGTGGTATCTCTTGTGTGATATTGAAGAAAAAAATATCCTCGAAGAAATATCTTTTTAATAGATCTGATCTGTGCATTGTAAAAACTTTAAGGAAAATTTATTTTTATTTGAAGAGAAAACATTTACTTTTTCAGATTTGAAAAGAGCCAGCTGACAAGGTTCAAAATAGGATACTTTGAGATTAACAGGTAGATTTGGAAATATTTTGTTGCACCTTGTGAGAAAGTCTAATTGCTGTCTTCAAGTTTATTTTGGTGTATCTATTTAGCTGCCATATGGTTATATGTTACACATATTTGTTTGCTGGTTTACCATGTTATGAGGTTTTAGATATTATTTTTTTTATTTGACCTTTGGAGTGGTTTTATTCTTTATTACAAGGTGATTTTGGGTAGCTGTTTTTGGCGATATTTTTATTATATGTATATGGCAACTTATTAACCATGTCATGAGTTTCTGGGATTTCACTTGATTTGACCTTTCTTTCTGTCAGACAATCACCTTGTGAGCTATTTCACACCTTGTGGCTTCACAACTTGCTCAGGCACTCCCCAACACGGTGAAAACTGCTAGCTGGGCACACTTAGTCATTATGACCTTGCAGGTAAAATTGTGTTTTTTTCTTACACAACAAGTTTCCAAGAAAGTGCTAGTTGATGCATCAATAGCATACAGTTTCAAATAACATTTGCCTTATCATCTCAAGAAAACATTTCTAAAACATTACTTTACTCGACTACATGATCTGAATTTGGTGCAAACCACACCAATCACTCCCTGGTGAGAAAGGGTTACTCTTCTTGTTCAGATAATTTCTAGAATTATTTATTTATCTCACAAGATGAATTCAGACCTATAAAAACTGCCAGCGTGCTTCCTTGGAGAGTAACGCTTTACCCTTTACAACCTTACATCAGTATGCATATTCTCCATACTGTTCTCTACACATTTCCTAAGACAAAGAGAATTTGCTTATCAATCTTCATATGGTATTTTCANCCAAGAGTTGTTGATTGCTCTCAGTCACCCAACATGGATGTTTTCATCAGAGATGATTTCAGAGGCACTCACGGGACACCTAATGTGAACACAACACCACAGCTATCTCTGGACAGTACAGGGAAGAGTCAGATAATGGGAGAGTCTACTGTTAATAGTATTACTACTGTATTCAGTCCTTATGGTTGTTTCTCCCAAGACTTCTTCAATCTACCTACTTGTTTGGTGTCATCTGGTTCTCCAGCTTCTTTTTCAAAGAATGTCAGTTATTTGCAGTCACCTGCAAGAAATGTTCCCACCAGACCTTACTTCAGAGGGAATCACTTGACACCTGGTGTGAACTTACCACCTCAGCTGATGAGGGACAATACAAGGGAGAATCAAACACAAGGGGAATCAGCTGTTAACACTTCAACTACATTAGTTAGACCGTTAAACTTTCCAGCAGTACCAGCTCTTCCTTTGTCAAGAGCAGCAGGTAGTGTGGCACAATCAACACACCTTACATTCCTTGGTTCTTCAGCCTATAGATCTGTAAATGAGGTAAGATTTTGAACAACTGATGATCAATCAATCAATTAATTGTTAGTTTGATCCTTCTCTATTCTAAAGGTAGTTTTATTATGGATTCACTTCAGCCTATTAGTTTTCAGAGTTTTGTTCCAATTTGCTTTTTCTCATTATATAGATCGAAACTCTAGAGTGGATAATTTTACCATAAGCAGAAATTTTAAATTAATTTTGAATTTTTAATTGTATATTTTTCTTTGTATTTTTCCCATTTATGTTATGTTCAATTTGAATTATTTGTTTCAGTTGTTTGCATGGACCACATTGAGAACTACTGGTTCTACCAGTAATTGTGTTATCCAATGAAGTCATTATCTTATCTTATATTCTAGGAACAATAACTTGTTTTTAATATAGATAAATAAAATATACATTTATATAATGCCATCTTCCATTTATTGTCCATGATGCTTTACAATACTCTAAAACCATAAAAATTAAAATCCTAACAATTAAATACACTATATGTAATACAATAAGGTTACAAATAGAAAGTAAAAACCACAAGTAAAAACTACAAATCAAATGCACGCTTAAAAAGATAAGTCTTAAGATTAATTAGCCTCAAAAACTGCCTCTGATAATGAATTAAAGCCTGATCTTGAGTGGTAGTTCATTCCAGAGCCTTGTGCCACCACAGAAAAAGCCCTTTCACCATGTGTTTAAAGATTTGCTCTTGGCTCATCAAGCAACCTGTTGTTTGAAGATCTTAGTGTGCAATGAGAGTCATTATACTTCAATAGGTCTTTATAATGTAATCTGGGGCCAGTCCATTCAGAGCTTTGTAAGTTAGCAACAATATTTTAAAAACTATCCTATAATGAACTGGCAGCTAATGTAAGCTCCTTAGTATTGGTGTGATGTGTTCCTGCCTTCTAGTCAAGGTAACAAGGCGAGCTGCTGAATTCTGTAAAAGCTGAAGTTTATTAATCAGAATACTTTGGGAGACCATACAGTAGGGCATTACAATAGTCCAAAGGCAATGTCATGTAAGTGCGAACAATAGCCTCAGAAGTACTCTGGGATAGGTATGGCCTAATTTTAGTTATACTGGCCTGTTTACTAGACTTAATCTCTTCTTTGCCTACTTGTATGTAGTGGAGGGGTGGTTATGTACAATGTTTAGAACTAATATTACATCACTTATATAAGTGAGACTTGAAATTAGCTCTTGAGTCCACTGAACTTTAATGTTTACCACTAGGTTTTTTTAGATCCAAGGTACCATTCTTTGTAAATTTACATCCAAGGTGACATCATGTATGTTTCTCTTTTGACAGGCTTGTTATTCAAATATTCCTTTACCCAAGCATTTGCAATCAAGTACAGTCAAAACTAAATCACACAGTGTTTCAGTGCAAGGAAGTAAGTTACACTTGGGGTTAATCTGGATGCTCATTAAATGTGATCATGCTGTTTTATCATTTGATTTATTGTAGCCAAACACAGCCTGTACATTTCAAGACACAGTAGACAAGGAGAACAGCTTGTTGCATTGAAATATTCCTTAGTGTTGCTTTTCATGTTTTTTCTTTGAAAAAATTCAGGTCTGTTAAATCGTGTACACTTTACATACAAACATACATACATACACTTTATTTGGTATAGCAGGTTGAATTAAGGCAGCTAAAAATAGTTGATGTAGACCTGCTGTTATCAAAACAGTTTACAATCACAATATAAAAATTAATAAATAGATAAAACCACACGAATTCCATAGATAAGATCATTGATAAAAATGATGTTTGAATTTCTGGAATCTAGTTGTGTGGCTGCATTACATCAGTGATTTAAAACAGTACATATACGGCTTCCTTCAGACCCTCTCTGGCTTTGAAGAGTTTTTTCGATCTGAACCTTACCTTGAAGTTAAATTGTCTCCTGTCTGAATGTAATATAAAGCAAGGTGTTTTTTTTCTAAAATTAGAGGCTATATTTGCTTAATTTAAGGTAATTTTGTGGGGAAAATCTACAGAAATCTGTGCGGTGGCGTATTGAGTTGATCTTAAACCCCATAAGACTACAGATGTCAGATCTCTTTTTATCCATGCACAGGAGTACATATAATTAATTGACTGATGAATTATGTTTTTAAGAGGAAAGTCGTAGAAAGAGGAGATCATCCCCAGGCTGCAGTAACCAGGATCCTAAACAACCCAGAGTAGCATTTGTGGACTTGGCAGGTTATTGTTAGTCTTGTTGGCTATGAATGAATATTTTTACTTACATCTTTCACAAAAAGCAAATATTTGCTAATTTAAGGATGAAGCCTTATGTATATTGTCCTGATAATAAGCAATTATTCGATGAAGTTGAGCGAGATGTTTAACAATTATTTGGTAAAGGTGAAGTGAATATTGCTGAATAATCCCGAGACGAAGTTGTTGGGACTATTGAACAAAGCCCACTGAGCCTGAGGTGAAAAATTGCTTCATTATGATTGCTCTCGAATTTTGTCGTCAATTCAATTTGTTGTAGACATCATTCTATTACTGCTGTTTTGATTACTGGTATTGAAATAAGTAGCCAGATTTTTGTTCTTAGTAAACAACACTAAGAGCCAATTCTCACAGCCGTACCAACGGAGGCAATTGACAATAACTGCTTTGTTCACGTTAACTTTTTAAAGCAACATCCCACAATCTACGTTGGAGCATTCTAACTATGCTGTAAACTTATCGCATCACCTTTGTCCGTTTATTGTTTCGTGCCTCACCCACAAAACTGAGCAGATTCTTTGTCATCTTTTCTTGCTCTGTTGCTGAGCACTGATTGGCACAGCAGATTACAGTTGAAATCAGTCTGTTTCCTATAATTTGATTGGTTAATCTTGTTTAAAAGACCCAGTTATCACTTTGAGGCAACTATTACTTATAAGTTATTTCTTTTTTTAGTCAAACAAGGCTCACCAACAGATGATGAATTACAAGAATTAGGCAACGAAATTGCTGGAAAGTGGATGAGACTTGGGCGTTGTCTGGGGGTCAAGGAGCCAAACCTACAGGATATAGAACAAAACCACAGGCAGCTGCCTGAGAAAGGATACTACATGTTAATGCACTGGAAACAGGAGAATGGTTCTACAGCAACTTACCAAATTTTGAATGCTGCGTTACAGCATGAACTCGTTCAGCGGAAAGACTTGGCAGAAAAAATTTGTCACAAAAATGGTAATTATTTTAAAAAATACTAGTCAATTAGAAATGATAGTGATTGACTTTTAATGATGACGGTGAAACCTTTATCAAACGGACCCCATATTATTAAAGAGACTTACTTCAAACAGGGGCCACCTGTTATCATGAGGCGAGCACCAAAACTAGGTCTACCTAACACCCAAAACCAAGTAGTTTTGCTAACCGCCTCCCGGTTAGCTCAATGGATAGAGAGCTGGACTGTTGTGCGGGAGGTCGAGGGTTCGAGTCCCGGCCGGACCAACACTCAGGGTCATAAAATAATTGAGAAGAATATGCTACCTTTCTATAACATCAAGAAATGGTTAGATATTTCTAGTCTTCTCGGATAGGGACGAATAAATGGAGGTCCCGTCTCCTGCAGGGTTAATTTCCCACGCACGAGAATACTGTGTGATGGATGTCCTCCCCTGGGGTGGGATCGGTGGGTAACAGGACCCCCGTTGATACCAGTGTTTACTACACTGAAGGGGCTATCCTGTATAAATATAGATGTCTACTCTACTCTAGTTTTTCCATATTCTGTGGAACAGGTACGTATTTCAAATGTTGAGTGGCTGGCTTACGGTTCACAAATTAATGTGGTCAGATTTGTCGATAAGGCATGTTGAACGTCACACAACAAGAAGAGAGACACCTCTTCTTCATCTCCAACCACATTTCAACTACGTTAAGGTTTAGCCTGCAATCCGAAGTCAGCGTGTTCACAAGAAGAAAGAGGTTAAAAACAGTTGAATGAGTAGTCCACGGTTTATAATGACGCTGTACCATAGTGATAAGTTAAGCTTAACTGAAGCTTGAAG